AGCCGCGCCCCTTCCCCGGCAGCCGCCCCCCCCCGGCTCCCCTCCCGAGGGCGGAGCTGCTCCCCCGGAGAGCGAGGAGGAGGAGGCGGCGGAGGCGGGGCGTGTCCTGGACCTTGATCGCCGGGGCTTGAAATTCCCGCAGCTCTCACCCTGAAATCTATACAAGGCAGCAAAAAAAGGGCTCATGGATCTGTAAGTGCCTTTAAAATATTTACAATATCCTTGAGGCAACAGGAGAAGGAAGGGGTAGACATCGAGGGAAGAAACAATGACGTTTTGGAGAGAAAGTGGACTGAATGAAACTTAAAATATTATTAATGCTATCCCTGAGGGTGATCGTTTTATGTACTGTATATGTAAGTGTACTTCAGGTTTATGTTGTGTAGATTGGATGTTTGTTTAATAAAATAAAATATTTTTTTTTAAAAAAACGGGTGGACTATGAAAGCAATCTTAAAAACAAAAACAATCAGCGGCAGCTGATGTGTGAGGAGGAAGAACTACCCCCTCCCCAGTGGGGAATCCTGCGGGAGGGGAGAGTCCCACCTTGGCTAGCCAAGAGAAACTTTTTAAACTGCTTATTAATAGACTGACTGTTTGTAAAAGGACCAGTCAAACTTTTTTATCTCTTAGTTGGGGGGGGAGGGGGAGCTGGATTTCGCTTTTAAAGAAAATAAGAAAGAAAGAAAGAACCTAAAAATCTATGAAATAATTTAAGTATTTAGCATGCTGAATTAGGGACTGGGGGAGTGAAAAATAAACCTTCATTAGGATTCACTTTAGGCTGCAACATATCCAGACACGGAGAAACAATTCCTTAACCTTTGAATATACAGTATAGGACAGTTAGTAGGCTCCATCTGCTCCACTATGCTGGAGGTGTAAGAAAGGGAAGAGGATGTATAGACATATGTGGTGGTCATGTGATCTAAGAAAGCAAGAATGGAAGCAAATTTTTAAAGAAATGAGGGAAATAACTGGATTAAATAGTCAATGTCCCAGTCAATGGCTTTATTGAATTTGGTTAAGAAGGGTCAATTGTTGAAAGAAAATAGGGATTTAATAGTAATAATGTTTACAGCAGCAAGGTTAATTTTTGCAAAAAAACTGGAAAAATGATAACCAACTCAATTTAAAAGAATTGTATAGAGCAGTGGTCCCCAGCCTTGGGCCTCCAGATGTTCCTGGACTTCAGCTCCCAGAAATCCTGGCCAGCAGAGGTGGTGGTGAAGGTTTCTGGGAGCTGTAGTCCAAGAACATCTGGAGGCCAAAGGTTGGGGACCACTGGTCTAGAGAACTATGGGATATGGCAATTAATGATAAACTGACGTGGGATATGAAAATAATAAGAGGCCTATCAAAATAATGATTATAATATGGAGTGTATTCTTGGAATATGTATTTCGGAGAGGGAAGGGGTATACACTGAGAGAAGAAACAATTATGTTTGAGAGAAAATGGACTGAGTGAAATTTAAAGTATTATTAATGCTAGCCCTGAGGGTGATGGTGGCACTGATGGAATAAGTAATTGTATTTTACTGTGATGTTAGGTTTATGTTGTTTATGTTGGTTGGTTTAATAAATTTATTTTTTTTAAAGAAGTCTGATATTTTTTATGAAACAGATGTATATTGGGTTACTTCTTTATATGTATTGTTTGTTTGCTGACTATTTTTTCCCCGTTCACCTTCGCTGCTCATTGAGTATTTTACATGGCTGTGGATACTCTGGTGGTCCTTTCTTTTCGAGCCAACAATTCTCAGCATTTATCTGAAATATCTTTAACAGCAAATAATCCAACAGGCAGACACCCTACCAGGGCCCCCAACAACCACCACAACCACAGCATCCACGCTGATGCTATTCCTGCCACATATTTTCTTCCCGGGACTGGGGAGGGGGCTCTTATCTGCTTTTACTGTATAATGATAAATGACGGCACACCTTCTTTCCAGCTCAAACAGGGGCTTCTCCTTTTTATTTCTTTCTTTCTGTGTCTTGCTTCTGAGTCCCACCGTGACCGCGCCCCCCCGAACCCGCCGGGGGACTTGCACAAACGCCAAGACGGGCGCCTTCTTCGGAGCGCGGAGGGACGACCTGCGGTGGGAAACCACGCCTGCCCCGAAAGCCTTACCGGGAGGTGGAGGCGAGAAGCCCTTCCCCTTCCCCT